AGGGCCGAGCGGCGGGACGGCCAGGGGACCCGCGGGACGGCTTGGCTGGCGGGGCGAACCCGCCCTGCGCGGCCAGCCCGGCCGTCCTCACCCGGTCCCTGTTCCACGCGCCCTGCCGCCCACGCCAGCCGCCGCCAAGGGTGTTCGACAGCGGCTCCTACAAGAGACCCCGCGGATCTTTCCGCTTCCTGCCGAATTCCCGTGCCGCGGGCGCTGCTCCCGGAGCCGGAGCCAGCCCCGTCACCGGCAGCGCGCTCTTGGCCTCACACCCCCAAAAGCAGCAGCACCCACGGTGCGCTGCTACCAAATGTCAACCCTCCCTTGCCGTTTGCCACTCTGGAAGCTTAATCCTAGCAGGAGCTGTCTGTGTCATGCGCTAGGGAACGGCCAAATGTCAGAACCCCAGGAAAAGCTGCATTTTCATACTTCTGACACAATAAATAGCAAAACCTCAAGTGCCCCACAGTGTGCTGCAAGGAAAAGCACAGCTTGCGGCCGCGTCTGTGTGAGCCGCATGCCAGGAGCAGGACGGGGATGGGAAATCTAGCTGCTTCTCACTCGTCATGGAGTTATTCTGGCTGATTCATGGGGAGAAGAAACAGACCAGGCATCCGCTCTATTTTCCCTCCCTTTAAGCCCGTTCCACCATGCGGGCAGTGAAGCCTCTGCTCCCCATGCAGGGCGAGCGGCAGAGAGCCCGCTAAACACAGGATTTGCGCGGGCAGAGCTCCCTCATCCCACCCGATGGGCCCAGGATTTTTTAATTTTATTTATTTTTGCACATGCAGCCCCACAGCAATTTAGTTTTTGCCCTGAATCGAGGATTTTCGGTCCAGACACATGCAGCCCTGAGGCTAGACATAGCACGCGGGGCTCCGAGAGGCAGCATCCCTGTTCTGGCAGCAAACACCCTGTGTGATCTAAAGGATTTCTGCTCCCGTGAAGGCCTACGAGGCTGCTGCTAATGAGGAAGCGCAGCTGAAGTCTGCAGCTTCTCCAGGCTCAAACGCTCCCCGCATTTGCGGCTGCGGAGCCGCAGCGGGTGCCAGCGGGGTGCACATACCCCCCGAGCTGCCGGGTCTGCAGCTGGGGAGCCTCCGACTGGATTGAAAAATGAGAGCACTGGACAGGGCGGGATTGAATGGACTGAACGTGCAGAATTGCAAATATACCCAGTGCTCTATCAGGAAAAAAAAAAGAAAAACAAAAGAAAAAAAGATAAATTTCACCTGTTTCCAAACTAGCCCAGAGTTCTGCACGTTTTTGCTGTCCTTCTCGGCTAATGCTTGTGACTGGGCACCACCAAGGGCCGCCCGTGCCCCAGGTGGTCCATCCCGCAGGACACCGCTGCGGTGAGGATTGGCCCTAGCGGCGCCTTCCCGGGGATGGGAGCTCGCCCGGCCCCGGTGCGGGAGCCGCTCCTCGGCCCCCCGGGGCTGCCCAGCGAGCCCCGGCGCAGTCCCCGGCTGACCCTGGGCCGCAGGGAGGACGCGTGGCCTCGCTGGCACGGCACAGGTGACATTGCCCCGGGAAGGCGCGCGGCTCGCAACCAGGCGGATCAAATGGGCCATCTGCTAGCGCTTGGCATGGGATGCTCTTGGAGCCCTCCCCGAGCCCAACGGCTGAATGGGGCTTGCAAGGGACACTCGTGTGCACAGGGAGCAGCCCTGGCACCGCTGGAAGGGCAAAGAGATCACGGTGGGGACACGGAGGACGGGCCCTTGTTGTGCTCTCTGCCAGGGCTCACAGGCAGCCCCGACGCTCCTGCAGACCTGCAGAGCTGAGCACTCCATGCTCGCCTCTCGTGCCAGCCTGGATTAATGCCCAGAGCCAGGGCAGCCCCCAGGCGCTCCTGCACGGGGAGCAGGGGACGCACTGCCGGGCTCCAGAGGTGCCGGCCCACGTCCTTCCGAAGGGGCCACGAGCCCCCGGGCGGGCAGCGGTGCAGAGCCACGCGCGGCACCGTGCTCTGCCTCCATCCGCGGCTGCCGAGAGCCAGGAGCACCGCGGGCCGGCACAGACCCCCGGGGCCCGACCCATCACGGGGTACGCAGGAAGGGTGACGACCCCGAGCTGTGCAGCTCCCTGTCACACCGTGTGCCGCCTGTCCCTGCGCTCCGCGCGGCACAGACCAGACTGTCACCACCCGGCCGCCCCCACCGCGCTGCTGGCAGCAGAGCCAAGCTCTCCGCCCTCCCCTCTTTCCAGGAGACTTGGATTGACGGAGCGAAAACAGCAATTTGCCTCTTGCTACCCCTGGAACAGCTTGTTCTGTTCCTCGCGACCCTCTCGCAGCAGGGCTGGCTGCTGGGAGCGCGCGGAGCCCCGGGGCGCCCAGCGCGCGCTGGGTGCGCGGAGCCCGGTCCCAGGGGGGAGCGAGGGCACCCAGCCCAGTGCATCCCTGCAGCAGAGCCACCCCAGCCCCTGCCTTGGTGGCACAGGGGACACTGCGCATGTCCCGGGGAGCTGCTCAGCACCAGGCGCCAGCTGCGGAGCACGAGCTGGAAACCTCACCCAGGGCCGGGAAGCAACGGCTCACACGGCAAAATTTGTTTGGCCATTGGATTTGAGTGGTAGGTACAGGAGAAAGATTGAATATTGAATTCATCAATAGATGATGTAAGTGCAAATTGCTGCAATTCATTCCAGTGCTTTGCCTCATTGGCAATCTGCCTAATCCTTGCAAACGGCTCAGACTAATAAGGAGCTGGTGCTGGAAATCAAATGCAGTACTTTCAGCCCCTAAAAATAGCATTCCGTGCTCGACGGAGGCACTCACCCCGGGAAATATCAGAAATTATTCACACTTAAAGCAGTACGTTCTGTCTCCGAGCTGAGCAGGCGATATTAGAAACCAATGCATTTCCCCTGGCGAGCGGCGCGGCAAGTCTCATTCCGAAAGGCCGTAAGACAAACTCACTTCCAGGAGGGCAGTGGATTCATCTACCGGGGGCGGCAGCACTCCGGCCACGGCTGCGTCCCTGCGGCTCCGGCTGCGAGGCCGGGCACGGGATGCGCCGGGAGCAGCCCGTGCAGCCACCGCGGGCCCCGGTGTCCCCCAGCAAGGGCAGGGCCTCAGGGGGAGCTGCTTCCCACCCCGGGGCTGCGAGGGCAGAAACCCGGGTGCCATTCAGCAGGTCCCTCCTCAACACTCACAGTTTTAATGTGCAGCCCCCTCCCCTTCAGCCAGGATGAGGAAGACCTGAGCCCCGTGCACCCTGCCTGCAACCTGGGGTTTGCACAGCGCAGCCTCTGAGAACCTCCGCAGCAAGGATTTGCTAAGGCCGGGCTAATATTTCAGCCAAAAGCTATTTTCATGCTGTTCCACAGCTGATGTGACGCTGAAGGAAGGCACAGAAAACTGGCGGCCCTGCCAACTGGCACGTGCAGACGGAGGCCGCCGCCACGCGAGCAGGCAGAGCAGGGGTTAACGCAGCTGCTTTGTCTGTCCCTACCTTGGCAAATGGCTTGATTCCAAAGGAGTTGCTCTCAGCCATCTGGTGCAAATGCAGCGTTGTCCTGGAAGCAGTTATGAAAAACGAAAATGAAGCTGCACCTCTGCGCACCACGACAGCGGTCGTTGCTCTTCAAAGGGAAGAGGGGCTGCTGCACGCTGACGATACCAAAAGGCACAGCCCCGCGTGGGCTCGGCCCCGGCCACGGAGCTCGCACAAAGCGCTCTCTTTGCCAGGAGAGGCACCACAAGCATTGGGAAGATTTGAGGCTTTTTCCTTTGAGGCTCCCGAACAGGCTCCAAAACCCCTCTAAAGCACCACAGGATTCAAAACATGACCCTGGGGGCCCCAGGGCTTTGCTGAGCCAACGGGTGGTGATCAGAAAAGGACCTCTGGCAGTAACTCCCAAACCCTCATCTGGACGGATTTCCCTCCTTTCCTGCAGCACAGCAATCCCAAATTCCAGTGCCCTGTCCTCAGGGATAACTCATACACTCTCTCTGGGCGCTAACAACCACAGAGTCCCTTTGCCTTTGCAGCGAGGGGCTGATCAGGAGGAGACAGTAAATGCCCCAAGGGCTGCAGGGCCGGGTCCCACAGGCGTTATCACAGCCGCGGCCCCCGGGAAGCGCTCGTCCCTGCTCGGAAAAGGCGGCAGCAGCGGCGAGGGCCAGCGCCAGCACCGGCCCCGGCCCGGGGCCTTTCGGCAGGGCGCGGGGAAGGCCGGGACAGGCCGGGGCTCCGCGCAGGCGGCACGGAGCCGGCACAGGGGCGCCGCCGGGGAGGCCTGCAGGCGCGCGCACTCATTGCGCCCCTTCTTAAACTATGATCGTGCCCCGTTTCTGCTGGTTAGACCCATTGAGGCTTTAGTGAAGAAGGGGAAAAGAAAACAGAAAAGCATCAGAAAATGCTCTTGTTTTCCCCAAATCTTCTAAAATAAGAATGTTTAAAAATCCCTGCTGAAGCTCTAAAGGGATTACCTTGGTAATTAGCGATCCTTGGGGATTTATAACAAAAATCTCTGAAATCTGCCCTTGCACCACCAATTAAGAGAGCTAAGCCCAACATGGGCTCCCTGTTCCGCTGTCCGGACACTCCACTCCAAATTCCACAGTGGAGCCAGGAAGCCACCCCAAAACCGGAGCTGTTCTGGAGGGGCCCAAAGGCCCTGTCCAGGGAAGGGCCCATCCAACCACCCTGCCATCCCCAAGCACCCCCCAGGCTCTTCCCAGCCCGGCCACCAAGGCCACAGCTGCTGCTTAACGTCCTTGGGAACAAGGGCCCTTTTGGGCCGTTCTCTTCCACCTTCGCCATGGGCACGGAGCCACGTGTGCCCTGCACCCCGGCGCTCTGCGCCCTCCTTGTCTTGCCCTGTGCTCCGCTCTTCTCACAGGGGATTCAACCCCTGTTTTGGAACATAGATAACGGGAGAGGCCTTGGGGGGGCTCTGGGGGCCGTGCCATGAAGCGGGGAGCCCAAGGCCGCGATCAGCCCCGCGGCTGCCCCTACGTGCGCCCCTCACCCAGCGCGTGCCGCGGGGCTCCCGGCCAGCCCCCAGCCCCACGCTCACCTCTGAGCCACGTCCAGGCCTGCCAGCATCATGGGGAAGACGTTGAAGTTGCTCTCGCCCTCGGGCTGCTGCGCCACGCGAGCTCTCTCCAGCAGCATGGTCTGGTGGAGGGGACAGACCCAAGCGTGAACCGCGGCCCCGGGCACGCGTCTCCAGCGCAGGCACCATGCCACCCGCGCAGGGATACAGCCACAATCAAGCCGCTGTGATGTGTCTGTGTCCTTGCTATGGACGAGCCATTGCCAGCGCTCGAGGCTCTAGCAGACTGCTCGGGATAGGCGGCTCCTGGAGCGGCCCCAAGGAATGTGTCCCTGCCGAGCTGCAGGCTGCCCGGCTCTCCTCTCCTCTCCTCCAGAAGCATCCCAGGAAGCCGCCCGTGGGGAGGAGGGGGCCCGTGGAGGCTCCCAGGGCACATTCCTGCCCTGGAGAGAGGCCTCCGAGCTGGAGGCCGCTGCTCCCTGCCAGGGCACGGAGCGAACACGGGCTGAGCTCGGGGCACAACAGGGAATCCTCGCGGCTCCCTACCAGGAGACACCAGTTGGAGCCTCCCCCTCTAACCCAGGCCCGGTTAGCAGGGGCAGGTCTTTGATTAAAAAGCCTTTATGCAGCGGTGTGGTGACAGTGACAAAAGCCCCAGAGGCTGCTGCTTAATTCTGAGGCTAACGCGCGAGGGGCTGCTAATGAAGCGCTGAATTATGCATCTCCTCATGAATACTGCAGCCCGGTGCTGCTCCACGGTGCCGCTGCGATGGGCTGCGGGGGGCCTGGCCCTGCCCCTAGCAGAGCGGCTGCAACGGGGGGACTTGGTCCCAGCAGGAGGGACGGGCCGAGGACACCAGGACCAGACGGGTTCCCCTGCCGTGGTGCAAACAGCGAGGGCAGATGTGGGCTGGGGAACGCAGGGGTGTCGCTCTGAGCTTCCCCCTGGTTCTCGGCCATAACCAACGCTTCCCTGCACGCCCCTGGGCAGGACGGAGCCCGGTGCACTGCAAAGCAGGGGACGCTGCTCCTCCTGCCATGCATGATGCCCACTACTGCTCTCCAGCATGGAGGAGCACGGCCACAGGGCAAGGGACCCTTGTGGGACCCTTGTGGGACCTCAGTGCCCGTCAGCAGAGCCTCGCAGCTGGCGCGGGACCGCGGGGCCGCGCTGGTACCTGCAGGTGAGCGGCCGTTATTCGTCCGGCGGCGCTGAAGTCCAGCGAGAGCAGCATGGAGAAGCGCGTGGAGCTGCTGCTGTGGCTCGTGGTCACCGAGCCGAAGGCTTCGAGCACCGTAAACATGGCCTGGATCTTCTCCACTGCGAAGGCGGCACCAACAGGCCGGGGTGGGCGCTGGGAGCGCGGCACCCACCGTGCTGCCCCTCGCACACCCAAAACCCAGCCGTACCTGTGACGGCGCCGTGGGCGCTGCCGGCCGCGGCGACGAGGTGCTCGAGGGCGCCGCGGCAGCAGGC